TCCCTCCCTCCCTCCCTCCCTCCCTCCCTCCCTCCTTCCTTGTTTGTTTCTCTTTTTTTGTCTGTTTTCTTGAAGAGAAGCTTTCCTTTCCTTCTCACTATGATTTAGAAAAGCTAGAACTCAGACTCAGAGCCATACACAGGCAAGACAGATGCTCTACCATTGAGCCACACGCTTCCCCTAATATTTTTCTTTTTCTATCTGGTGTTTTGTTTGGTTTTGTTTTTTTTCAAGACAGAGTTTCTCTGTGGAGCCCTGGCTGTTCTGGAATTTGCTCTGTAGACCAGGCTGGCTTTGAACTCAGAGATCCACCTGCCTCTGCCTCTCAAGTGCAGGGATTAAAGGCGTACACCACCATCATCCAGTTTACCTCCCCTATTTTTTAATATCCTGATTTGCATAATAAATTTTGAAGTCACATATACATGTATAATGTGAAATGAAATTCCCAGAAAAGCCACAGTTAAAGAGTTTTCAAGGATGATTAACCGATTGATTAGAACTTCATGGTTGTAGAGGGTTGTGGACTGACCCAGATCTTGTGCTCTCTCTAGACCTCTTAATAGTTGTCCACAGCTTACCTGTTGAGTCCTGTCTAACAACTTTTCAATTATGAGGTGAATCCCTCTGAATGTGTTAATTTAACAGATCCCATAGCTCCTAGAAACCCCCAAACTAAGAACAACATCAGAGAACATGAGACCTACGGCACAGACTTACCCACTTCCCATCACCCCCCTACCTGACATTCCCACCAATATACTTGAAAATATCTTGACTTATAACTGACTGTTTTTTGTTCTATGCCCCTGAAAGACTTTCCATGTTGGAACATGCATGGTATTTGGGGCAACCCAAGTCTGTATTCTAGGGTCGTTGTCATTTCCCCTAAAGGTAATACCTGTGTGTTGAGCCAACAAAAAAAATTTTTTTTTAAATTTAGAAACATTTTACTAGCTTCTGTTTTCTATGTATTGTTTTATCTATCTTGCTGTTAAAGAAAGTCCTGGCACCTCAAAATAGAATATATTGGATTATGAAAATACCTGCTTCAAAATGATTTCCATCACGTACTTTTGTAGAGACAACTCGAGTTCAGGATCAGACTCCAGCATGCAGGCAAGCCTTAGGAAGTCTAAGAGGGCAGAGGGGAAGGGCAGGCTCAGCACTGCTAGAGATACAAGGCTTTTTTGTTCCCATTCCCTGAGACAGTGTTCCTTACAGTTTCCTGGGGTCTGGGGAGTCTCCAGGACACCGATGGATAGAAAGGGCCAAGAGAAATCCACAGAAGACTTCTTACAGGTTGTGTGCTTCTCCACATTTAGTTGCATGTGGCTTGGTATCAGGATTGGATTATTAAAATGCGTTATAACTAGGGAAGATTGTTACTTGTGGATTTTACCTTGAATTTTGCCCTGCAGGCTTCTTAGGTGCCTCGCTGTAGTCATATGGATTGAAAGGTTTGGGAAAAATTGAATGAAGAAGACTAGGAAGTCAAGGACAGCACTCTGACATCCCCAACAGGTGAAAGGGAAGGAAACTGGCAAAAGGCACTGAAGATGTCTGGTTTGTGGAACGGAAGCAAACCTAAAACAAATACTGTTAGAGCCCCAGGAAAATAGAGAGCATGATTTCCATGGGACAATTAATTGAAGTCAAGTGAGGTGCTTGTGCCTGTAACCCTAGCAGGAGAGGAGCTGAGGCGGGAAGACTGCTTGGACTTGAGCTACAAAGTTCAAGGTCAACCTGGACAACCTGACAAGAACCCATCTCAAAAACAAAACAAAGTAAAACTAAACAACAAGCATAACAAAAGCCATACTGGGGTGGTGGCATACCACTTCCCATTCTCCAGAACAGCAGTTCTAAGAACCTAGTCATCTTCTTGCCCTGGCCACCAGTTCCCACTTACCATCTTCCAAACACCATTGAGACAAAACACAGAGCATCTCTGACTCCTGCTTGTCCTCAACCTTTCAATGAGTTTCTATATATCTGTCTTAGTTAGGGTTTTACTGCTGTGAGCAGACACCATGACTATGGCAAATAAAGGACAACATTTAATTGGGGCTGGCTTACAGGTTCAGAGGTTCAGTCCATTATTATCAAGGTAGGAGAATGGCAGCCTCCAGGCAGGCATGGCACTGGAGGAGTTGAGAGTTCTACATCTTGTTCTAAAGGGACACAGGAGAAGACTGACTCTCATGTGTCCAGGAGGAGGGTCTCAAAGTCCACTACACAGTGACACACTTCCTCTAATAAGGCCACACCTACTCCAACAAGGCCACACTTCCTAATAGTGCCACTCCCTGGGCCAAGCATATTCAAACCACCATAATATGCAATGTATATTTATTGGTAAATAAGGAGATACAAGAACAGATATGACACAAATAGATCCATAGAAACTTATGAGACATTAGAGGGTAAACAGGAGTCAAGGATGCTCTGTATTTTGTCTCATTAGTGTTCAGAAGAAGATAGACAGGAATCAGTGGCCAGGAGAGGAAGATAGCTAGGTACTCAGCATTGTTCTGGAGAATGGGAAATCTATCTCCTTCATGGCCAGGCCAAGGGCCAGAGATGTGTGAAGGAGTATATCCATTTGCCACAGGGCTACTGACATTGGCAAATGTCCCTACTGACCACTACAGAGGCAGAGGGTCTGTCTATACATGGAGGCTACTTACTTTTGTGGTCACCAGAAGGATAATAATCCATGAAGCCCATACATTTTGCGAAAAACTCGTCAAAGTTAAAAGTTGGAGGTGGTTTTAAGAAGCTAACCTAGATAAAACAAACAGTAAACTTTGTTATTCTGGGGGTTGCATGACCTTAGGAATATCGTTTCACAGCCAACAGTATGTCTAGCACAGGACACACAGCAACTGGCACATTTAAGGATTTTTGTTTTGTTTGATACAGGGTCTCTCACTCTTTGGCTCAGAATGTACAAGTTCAAGGCTGGTCCTTGAACTTCCAGCCATCCTATGTCTTGGCTTCTCAAGTGCTAGAATTACAAGTATGAGCCACCAAGCCCTATTCAGTTATTATATTATTATTATTATTATTATTACTATTATTACTATTATTACTATTAGTAACGGTGGTAGTATTTGTCAGTACAAGGGGTTGTTTTGGTTTGTTTTGTTTGAGACAGGATCTCACTATGTAGTTCTGAATGACCTAGTATTCAGTATATAGTCCAGGCTGGCCTACAACTCACAAAGATCCACTTATCTCTGCTTGCTGAGTGCTGGGGTTAAAGGCAAGTACCATCTTTTCAGGTCCAGTAAGGCCACGTCATAGGCCCACAAGCGATTGAACATAGGACCTTGTACTCCACCACCAAGCTATAGCTACAGCCTCATTTGTTTGCTGTTGTTTGAGATAGGGTCTTGCTCAAGCTAGCCTCAAATTTGTTAAGGTTAGTTTCCCAAGTGCTAAGACTATAGGTATATGTCACCAACATACTATTACCATGGGTTTGTAAACTATAATTTTGAACGGAGGTAGGTTGCAGTTGCTAGTAGTGCAGGCCTATAATACCAACTATGTGGGATGCTGAATCAAAAAGATAAAATAAAAATTAAGGATTTCCTATACTATGAAGGAAGTTAAAGGACAGCATGGGCTACTTAGGCTCTGCCTCAAAGTTGAAATAAAAGCAAAGATGCTGGGGCTATAATTAAGTGAGACAGGTTGCTGGCCTAGCATGTGTGTGCTTCTGTCCTTTAGTATTGTCCAAAAGACAAATTCTGTTGTAATTTTAAAGGCTTAGGGGCATAGCTCAGACTGGACATATGCTTAGCTCTTAAGTCCTAGGTTCAACTTTTAGCTCAAAAAGAAAAGAGAAAAAAATTAATTTTTCCAGTTACTTTTTAAGACATTAAGAATCAGTATGTATGCACAAAGGGCCACTTGTTTATGTTTTTCTGCCCTGAAGGTCTTTGTTCTTTATCTCTTTCTGAACACTTCAAGTCAAATAAAACTGAGAAAACCATATTCCCTTCTTCCTTTTTTTCTTTCTTCTTTCTTTTTCTTCTCTTTCTGCAGAGTTAGATACAGAGTTGGAGGCCGTTATCCACTGAAGAGTGGGCATTACAGAGTGAGGGTTGCTTAGAAAACGGATGCTACACACTCAGAACATGAGTGCAGGCTTCCCAGGAGGGCTCTCACCCCATTTCTTTCTTACAAGTGTTAAAAACAAGGAGTGTTAATTCCTAAAATGTTCTCAGAAAAATCATGAACTCTTTAATACAATACATTGCGTCTGCCACATCCTCTGGTATTCCTGCCTCTAAAAAAATGCAGAAATTTAGTCCAACAATGAAGAAGCAACAGGCAAAAGCAGGTGAGGGTATGTCCGGCAAATAGCTGACAGTCCACGGGTGAGTGTTAGGAGGTTGTTGGCAAAGAAAATAAGTGCTACCATTCACAGGGCACACACTGAAATCCCAGCAGTCGGGAGGTTGAGGCTGGAGGACCAGTAATGTAAGGCCACCTTTAGCTAGCTATATAATGATTCCAAGATTAGTTTGGCCTACAGGAGACCCCCGTCTCAATAAAAAACAAACAAATGAGGATCAGACATTCCAACTCCCAACTGTCCCTATGTCACCCCATAGCTTCATTTACCCTCAGTGCGGGGTTGGGAGGAGCATTTTCTTTCTTGGACTCAGAAGCCCTGGCTCCTCCCACAGGACATGTCCTTAGTCTAACCCTGACTCCCTGCTGGCACAACCTGGCAGCAGACACAGTGCACTCTCACCTTAACCGCTCTCTGATCCGGAATCCTCTCGATTTCAATCATGCTCCGATCACAGAGCTGCCAGCAGTTTGGTGACAGAATAACATCGTTCATCTGAGCCATGTTCTGAGCAAGGCGTACGTCATCCACTGCCTGGCCAATCACCAGGAAGTAGTTCCGCGTTTCATCCCCAAAGACCAACATGGTGATGTGGCCCGCAGCCAGCCCTGAAGGAAACAAGCAATGGGTTTGCACAACAAGTTCTGGGTTACTTCTCAGAAGCACTGGATCTTGGGGAAAAAATCAGATGTGACTACACTACCTCTAAACAAAATCCCACTTTTAAAATTTTACATAGAAATCAGAGAATGTCTCTTCCAGGTCTCAGCCGTTCCAGATGCCCCTTCTTTTAAAGTTAAGAGAGCACAATTCCTAATTTTCACCGTTAGGTGAAACTTTTTTTTTTTTTTTTTTGAGATGGGGGATATTTTGAGACAAGGATTTTCTGTATAGCCCTGACTGTCCTGAAACTAACAGAGATCCGTCTGCCTCCTGAGTGCTGGGATTAAAGGTGTGGGCTTCCATGCCTGGCTTCCTCTAATTTGTTTTCAAATCGAGAAACGAAGCTTTTAGTAACTGAGTAATAGTACAGAGATGCTGTAAAACATGACATGCATGTGAAAATACACACACACACACACACACACACACACAGTATATGACTATATGACAGAGTGCTCTTAAATTACTGTAATTAATGTAATCAAAGTTTGTTTTCCCTCTTTGATCTTTATGCTGCTTCTGTTTGTGACTGTAGCCTTGGCTGGGCCCCAAACTCCCACCAATTTTCCAGTCTTACTCTCCCAAGTGCTGAGACTGTAGGAGTTCACTCCCATCCCCCACTCCATCCTCTCCCCCACCTCCACCCCACCCTGTCCCCCAGCCAGCTGTGCTCATTTGTCGAAGCTGACTTCCCTGGTACTATGTATATGTTTGCTTCCATCTGAAACACAGTACTACTTAGACTTACTATGGAAAAAGAGGAAAGATGCCAAAGCAAGCCTCTCTACTAGGCCCCCACAATGGACATGAGGGTTTGGGTTACTATCATTCTGTTTTTGAGACAGGGTTTCACACAACCCAGACCTTGAACTTCATATGCTCCTGCATTTACCTCCCAGCAGCTGGGATTACAGACATGTGCCACCATGCCCAGTCTGGGTTATTTTCATTCTAAGAAGTACACTACATTAGTTTCAATGAGCAAAGTTGGGAAAAAAAAAAAGAGTTGTGGAGTATTCACCAGAGAAGACTGCTCTGACATGGGTTTAAGACAACAGAAAGTCTTTATTAGCTGGCCAGTAACTACACTGGTTGTTCAGAATCCCAGTGTAGCCCTGAGCCTTTCTCAGGATTAGCTTCTAAGCACAAAAACCATGTTTTGAGTTGACATACGTCAGTTAACATGAACAGTGAGTCAGAAGCAGAACTACAGAAGCCAAAAAACAAGGTTAGTGCATTCAGAGACTTTCCCAGAACTAAATGGATGTCGATGGATTAGGCCTTTGTTTTAGTTTTGGCAGGTGGTGCTGTGTACATGCCAAGTTTTACAGCCAGAATGGTACTTCCATCATGGAGTCAGTTGTGCTAAAGCCTCAGGGCCTACTTAATTCTGGTGCCCAATAATAAAAACAAAAACAAACAAAAACCACATCCAGTGTTGTAATGGCTGGCCTTTTTTTTTGTTTGTTTGTTTGTTTGTTTTTTTGTTTTGGTTTTGGTTTTTCGAGACAGGGTTTCTCTTATAGTCCAGGCTGTCCTGGAACTCACTCTGTAGACCAGGCTGGCCTCGAACTCAGAAATCCACCTGCCTCTGCCTCCCAAGTGCTGGGATTAAAGGCATGCGCCACCACTGCCCAGCAATGGCTGGTCTTTTAAAGAGTATATTTATTTGGAAAATTTGAAAATCGGTATTAAAAGATAGATTATCTAAGACAACAGTTAAATAAAGAGAAATAATAAATTGGATAACCTATGATGTCCCATTAGTTCTAATATTTGTGATTTTTTTAAAATTATCATTAGTATGTGGTGGGGGAGAGAAAGAGAGAGAGAGAGAGAGAGAGAGAGAGAGAGAGAGAGAGAGAGAGAGAAATCATACCATGGCCTATGTACAGAGGGATCAGAGGACAACTTAGTAGAATTTGTTCCTTTTATGTGGAGTCTTTTCGCCAACTCAGTCATGTCTCTGGACTCCATGGTTGAGATGTCTACATTCATACATTTCAGTCTCCAATGGCCCCGCCACAGCTCTGGCCGTCACTCATCATCCACACTTCTCAGAATCGTGATCCTCATGGGTGCCATGATGAGATGAGAACAACAGAACGCATGCAAAGTCTTTGTGCAGTACGCAGTCGAGGACGGCTGTTAGCCTGTCAGGAGCATGTCCTCAACAAGCCCAGTTCCAGATACTGAGCTCTGCTGCAGGCACCACTTGTTAAACTGTCATTCCTTTTTACAAAATGATTATTTTATTCAAAAGAGGGTTTTGCCTACAATCATGTATGTAAACTGTGTGCACACCTGGTGCTGTTGGTGGTCAGAAGGGGCCGTTGTATTCTCTGGAACTGAAGTTATAGATGGTTGTGAGGTGCCGTGTGGGTGGTGAGAACGGAACCTGAATCTACTGGAAGAGCCGCCAATGCTCTTAAACAATGAGCTATTTCTCCAGTCTCTGCATGGTATTCTTAGGGAGTCACACATAAGCAGTCTTATGGCACTGCTGAATTTGTTAATAGCAGACTACTCTCTATCGTACTTAATGCTATACAACCTCGACAAGCAACAAGATATAACACCGATAGCAACTCCTTTATTCAGTTCTTGTTATGTTCCAAGTACCAGACACACTGTGTGAGGCTTGAGCTATCAGTAAACTCTACACAGAGATGAGAATAATCTCCTCCTCTTTCTTGTTGTTATTGATATAAGATATATCTCATATAGTCCAGGATGGCCTTGAACTTGTTAAATAATCAAGGGTAATTTGGAGCTTCTTATCCTCCTGCCTCTACTACTTAAATGCTAGGATTCAGGGCATGTACCATCACACGTGGTTTATAAAGCACCAGGAACAAAACTCAGGAAACCACATCGTTGAACTCTTGCAACTGAGCTACACCCCTGGTGATCTTACACTTCTCCTCCTGCCTTCTCTTTCTGAGTGCTTATATCATAAGCATTGCCACTATACCTGGTTTCTGTGGTTCTTGAAATCCAAGGCAGTCTGCACAGTAGGAAAGCACTCTGCAAACTGAGTTATATCTCTAGGCCTAAAAGTATGTATTTCTTGAGACAATTTCCCTGTATAGCCCAGGCTGTCCTCAAGCTACAATACCTTGAGCTGGGTACCTTGAGTGGTATGGTTATAGGCATGTGCCACCACATCTAGTCTACCCTACTTTTATAATAGCCTACTTTACAGACATCATGATCATCTCCAATTCTCTCAAATGATTAGTGAGTGAGCAAAAAGTTGTATTCTGGTTAGCCCAGTTCCAAAGCATGATGGTAGGGCCAAGCCAGCATGTTCTAGGTGTGGGGACCCAGACTCTAACATCTGTGCTTTCCCAAATCTTTTGTTTATTTATTTTTTGAGGCTGTCTTGTTATGTCACCCTAGCTGGCCTCAAACTCTCAGCTATCCTCCTGCCTCAGCCTCCTGAGAGTTGAGATTGCAGGCATACACCGCTGTGCCCAGGTCTGGATACTTACCTATCTTAACTCGGATATCCAGGCCTTCTTCAGCCTCCTTGGCTTCAAACAAGCCATGGATCTCCAGGCTGCACTTAATCACCACAGTGATGATGTTCTTCAGTTGCTTTCGTTCCACTTTCCACAGGGCCAGCAAGGCGTCACCTGCAAGAGAGACACTCTGGGGGCTTTAGCCCTGCTCTGGAGATCAGGGTGTTTTGCATGAACATTGCAAAAGCTTGTGCTGCTTCAGATATTTCTCAACCCATTCCCTCCCACGACTCCTGAGGTGCCTCCTCTGTAACAGGGTAGGCTACTTGGTTCTCCTTTTCTGCCCTCCTCATCTCAGGCAGCTTCCATACCTGCAAATTTTAGGATGTCTCCTCCAAAAATCAGAACTTCTAAAAGAAAGAAGAAAAAAGAAAGAAAGAAAAGGTAAGTCAGACTTATTCTTTAACAAACATTACTCACTGGTAAATTAGAAGCAGGCTTGGTAGCATGGTTGCACACGGTTTCCTAGGACTTGGAAAGCTGAGACAGAAGGATCACTGTGAGTTTGAGGACAGATTGGGCTACCTAAATCTTAGACCCTGTCTCATCTCAGAGGGGGTGGGGAGAGAGAGAGAGAGAGAGAGAGAGAGAGAGAGAGAGAGAGAGAGAGAGAGAAAAAGAAAAAGAAGAAGGAGGAGGAGGAGGAGGAGGAGGAGGAGGAGGAGGAAGAGGAGGAGGAAGAGGAGGAGGAGAAAGAGGAAGGAGGAAGAGGAGAAGAAATGGGGTAGCAAGAATAGCAATTTAGAAAATACACGTCTATCAAACATGACATCTCATTACTTCTGTGCAGGCCAGTGAGCACCACAACCAAACTGTATCTGTCCTCCAGAAAAACAAACCAACAAACAAAACAAAATTTGAACAAACAAGCCAGGAAACAGGAGGGCAGAGTTCTCCCAAGAACTAACCCTCTGTGTAAGAATGCTCTCTCTAGGCTAGCCTCAGGAGAGCATAGGCTGCTGGATGGATGGAAGACTCCACAAAAACAGGACCTGACCCTCCTCCCAGTGTGTAAGAATGCTCTCTCTAGGCCAATCTCCGGAGAGCATAGGCTGGTGGACGGATGGAAGATTCCACAAAAACGGGAGCAAGGGTATGAGCTCTGTTTGTTGCCATTTTCTTTAGAACTTTAGAGTCTTGAATGTAAGTGGAGATTTGCAGATGTGAGCTACCACCTGTTCTCTGTTCCACCCCCACCCCCCTGTGTGTGTGTGTGTGTGTGTGTGTGTGTGTGTGTGTGTGTTTGCTGGTGATGGAACTCAGGACCTCAGGCATTTGTTGCGTTTTGGGAAAGTACTCTACCAGTATGTTTTTGGGATGGGGCATTGAAACAGTCTCATAACTTAAGACCAGCTGGAAGTCACTATTTAACTTAATTAACCTTATTCATGTTCTTTCTGCCTCTGTTTCCTAAGTCTTGGGGTTATGGATTTTTTCTTACATTAGTGAGCATTAGCTAGGGTTAGAGGGCCTGGCGGTGGTGGCCTTTAATCCCAGCACTTGGGAGGTAGAGGCAGGCAGATTTCTGAGTTCGAGGCCAGCCTGGTCTACCAAGTGAGTTCCAGAACAGCCAGGGCTATACAGAGAAACCCTGTCTCAAAAAGGAAAAAACAAAACAAAACAAAACAAAAACTAGGGTTAGAGAGATGGCTATGTGGTTAAGAGCTCTGGCTGAGCTTGGTGGTGGTAGTGGTGCATGCCTTTAATCTCAGCACTCGGGAGGCAGGAGCAGGCAGATCTCTGTGAGTTGGAGGCCAGCCTGGTTTACAGAGTGAGTTCCAGAATAGCTAGGGCCCCACAGAGAAATCTTGTCTCAAATAACCAACAAAACAAACAAACCCCAACCAAACAAAACAAGCTCCGGCTGCTTTCCCAGAGGGCTGGGTTTGATTCCCAGCATCCATGTGGCAACTCACAACCATCTATAACTCCAGATCAAGGGAAGCTGATACCTTCTTTTGTCCTCTGTGGGCACCCTGCATCAGGCATGCATCCCTGCACAGACAGATATGCAGGCACAACACTCACACACAGAATAAAATATTAATAAATAAAGATGTGAAGAACATCAACCTAGGAATGGTGGCTCATTCCTATAATCTCAGTATTGACAGGCTAAGGCAAGAGGATTGTTTTAGGTTTTTTGTTTTGTTCTATTTCGTTCAAGGTCATATTTACCTAATAAGTTCCAAGCTAGCCTGGGCTATAAACTCAGGTCTTTAGTACAAAACATCCTTTCTCTCATGGAGTCTTACTAGTAAGGCTAGATCATATTCCTTTAGCTGTATTAGAACATATTACAAGTGATGATGACTATCTAGGTTTGCTTTTTCTTGCTGCCATAAACACCATCCACATCTGTGAGGGGAAAAAGCTTCTTTAACTTATATCATGAAGGGAGTTCAGGGCAAGAGTTCGGGCAGGAACGTGGAGGCAGAAAGTTAAATAGAGACCATGGAGCAATGCCGTGTATTGGCTTGCACCCATGGCTCACCCAGACTGCTTTTTTTTATACAACCCTGGACCCTCTGCCAAGGAGTGGGTTGTCTGGAAGCTTCCACAGTAACTATTAACTGGGAAGATGCCCCACAGACTTGTCAACAGGTTAACCTGATGAAGGTGTTTTTTTCAATCAAAGTTCCTTCTTCCCAGACGCTGCTAGCTTGTGTTAAGTTGACGAAAACAAACAAACCACTAACCAGAAGAAGGCGTGTGCGTGTGCATGTGCATGTGCGTGTGTGTGTATGTGTGTGTGTGTGTATTTCCTGGAGAATATGAACAATGATACAAATACTAACAGAGCAACAGCCCTGAAAACCTGTCCAGCAACCCCCCCCCCCCCCGAACACTTACTCTCCACTATTGCACTTATGTAGTAGTTGAGGATTTCCACCAGCTGCTCAGCTCCTCGGTCCATGTACATGGCTGTGCTGAACTTCTCAGTCATTGCAGTAAAACCTGTAAGAAACTGTGGCTGGTTTCCTTGGAGCCAAGCACAGCCAGCAGAGGGCTCACTGGCCCCACAGTAGGAGCCACTCCAAGTGGCAGAGTTTCAAATGACCTTAGAGTGTGTGGCCAGACAGTAGCCATGCAGAACTTAGTAGGTTAGGGGTCAGGAAAAGCAATCTCTTCCTTCTGGGCTCCCAGTGTAAACACTGATAACGGCATAACATTGGAAATGGAAGTTTTTGTTCCAGGGTTCAAAGGCCACACATTTTTCAAACGCTTCTGAAGAGATAGGTTTAGTATTAGGGTGTAGATACGGGCAGGTCACTTCTTGAGTTAGTTTGTTGGTGATATATGTGGGTCTTGGGGGGCCAGGCTATGAAGTTGGGGCAGGGACACTGGAGCCGGAAGTCCCAGATGGGGACCTTGAGTGCCTTAAAGATATGCCTGTGACTGAAAGCTGGGGGAAGGGAAGACGAGAGACATCTGGGGCCAGAGGTCATTGCCTTGTTCCTGTGTGCACAGTGAAATGAGCTACTCCGCTTCTCTAACAGCCTAGGGACTTCAAAACGGTGTCCCCACCACCGTCACAACCGCATGTGACTTCTGAGGCGAGCCTGCTCCTCACCCACGTTAAATAAGCACCCCTTTGGCACTTGCCTGAAATATCAACAAACATCAGAACTCCATCAAAACATTTCACTGATGGGTGCTCCGGAGAGAAATCTCCGTAGACGATGAGGTCTGGTAAGTGAGCGGCTATCTTGACGATTGCCCTGTCTTGTAATTCCTGCCTTCGAGCACTCATGTTCAAGGACAGTGGTCAGGATTTTTCAGCACCAGGAAGCTGTCTCCCCAAGTAGGTCTTCTAGAAACAAAAGTTGAGAATAGAGGGAATCTAATGGATCTGTTTGTTCTCTTTTCTATTTGTTTTTCTCCTGGGGTTTTATTCTACCCTGTGGATGGCTTGCTTAAATAAATGACTGAGTCTTGACAGAGCTAGAGTTGGTAATACCCCAAAAGGGATCACTTTCCCCTCTCTCTCAATATCCCCCCTTTTTTGAGAGAAAGAGAGAGAGAGAGAGAGAGAGAGAGAGAGAGACTCACTACATATTTTCTCTAGCCTGCAACTCACTATGAAGACCAGCCTAGCCTCTAACTCATAGAGATCTGTTTGTAATTGCCTGTAGGATTATTTTTTCTATATAGAAGGAAAACCATGACTGGACTTCCACCAAATCCTGAACAGCTACAAAAAGGACCAAGCTGTGGAGGGCAGCAACGGACCCATCTATTTCCAGGAAAAGGTAAACCCCACCAGGGAGTACGGGAGAGTAGCCTAGTTCAGTCTAGCCAGGTTCCATTTCCTTTTTTTTTTTTTTTTCTGTTCTTCGTCCTCTTTGGGCCAGTTTATTTTTTGTCCTTTATAAAAAGTAAACACAGATGTGAGTTTTTTTCATGGATACGTTCATGTGTGTGGGTATCAGGTTATTATCTATAGGAAAGAGGTTAAGCAAATTAAGATATAATGTCAAACAGAGAGTAAGAAAGCTCTGAAGGGTGGCTGTGGGCGTGCAGGTGACAGTTGAAAAGCTGAAAGGCTTAAGTTGTAAGTGGGAGGATATGCTGACACTTCCCTTTGCTGCCAGTTGGCTCTAAGCAAATAAGTATTGACTAAGGCCTTCCTTTGGGTGTGGACAGCAAATGCTCAGACTCAAGTGAAGTTAAAAAAAAGCTCTAGCAGAGTGTAGAGGGCTATGCCTGCACCCACAGCACTCCGAGTGGTGCTGACTGAAGCAGGAGGATCATCATGAGTTCCCAGTCAGCCTGGCTACAGAGTAAGATCCTTTCTCAAAAAACAAAAAACAAAACACCCAACAGAGCCCTCATGACCAGCAGGCATTAACCCACCTTCCACACAGGGCAGGGAAGCAAGAAGACTGAGAATCTTCACCCTTCCCTTCTCTTCTCCAATTCCAATCCCCCAGTCTCACCGGCCCCCTATATACACTCCCCTCCCTCTCTGCCTCTGATCCTCTCATCCTCAGCTCCGTAACACACCACCTGCTGTGGCCTTTCTTCACTCTCTGCCTCCAATCCCAGGGGACTAAGCAGATCCTGGAGGAACATGCTGTTCTCTCCCTCCTGTGGCCCCTCATCCCTTCCTTCTAGCTCATCCCTATTCCTAAGTTACAACTCCCAATACCTAGAAACACACTTTACCAGAGACCCCCCCAGTGGCCACAGTTAGCAAGATCCCAGTTGCATTCCCTACCAGGCAGCACACAGCCACCACACCCTCCTGAGAACCAGAGAGGGCAACAAAAACCAAAGAACAAAACACCCACCCTACAAAGACAGGGCCAGATTTTAGTACCCAGAACTACAATCATCCCATCCAGATGCTTAGATGCCAGCATAAAACCACAACCAAGAATAGTTAGGATAATATGTACCTACCAGAGCCCTTACTATAACAGGCACTGAGAAATATAATATAGCTGAAGTACAAGCCAAGGACCTTAAAGTAGACTTTATAATATGATATGTCAACTTAAATGGAAAGACTCAAAGCAGTTCCACTACACTCAGGAACAAGTTGTCCACTCTTTATATACCTACTCAATATAGTACTTGATGTCTTAACTAGAGGAATAAGACAAATGAAGGAGATCAAGGGGATACAAATTGGAAAAAAGTCAAAGTACTGTTATTTGCAGTGGACATGATGGTATACCTAAGTGACCCTAACAATTCAGCAGGGAACTCCTACAGCTGAGGAACACTTTCAGCAAAGTAGCAGGACTCAAAATTAATTCATAAAAATCAGTAGCCCTTCTATGTACAGATGACAAATGAACAGAGAAAGAAATCAGAGAAACAATATCTTTTACAATAGCTAATATACATATATATACATATATATGTATATATGTATACACATATATATATTATATATATCTTGGGGTAACACTACTCAAGCAAGAGAAAAACTTATTTGATAAAAACTTTAAGATGTTGATTGAAGAAAGAAATTGAAGATATCAGAAGATGGAAGGCTCTCCCATGCTCATGGACTGGTAGGATTAACATAGTAAAATGGCCATCCTAACAAAAGCAATCTACAGACTCAATGCAATCCCCATCAAAATTCTACCACAATTTTTCCACTAAATAAACCTATGAAAACACACACACACACACACACACACACACACACACACACACACAAATAGTAGAAGGAAATGAATAAAACAGTTCAAGACCTGAAAGTGGAAAGAGAATCAATAAAGAAAATCCAAACTGAGGGAAATCTGGAAATGAAAAATACACAGGACCCTCAGAGGCAAGCTTCACCAACAGAGTACAATAGATGGGAGAGAGAATCTCAGACACAATTCTTCATAGGTCTTGAAAGGGTAATTTTAAGTTTTCACAGTAATACACACATACACACATCCATCAAACAAACAAACAAAAAACAACATTTTTTTAAAAAGCCCTACAGAATAGCTAAAACAATCCTGAATCATAAAAGAACCATTGGAGCATCATCAACCCTAAACTCAAATTGTCCTATAAAGCTATAGTATTAAAAACAGCATGGTGTTGGCATAAAAACAGACATCTTGACTAATGGAATAGAATTGAAGACCCAGACGTAAATCCACACACCTATGTACACCTGATTTTTTATAAAGAAGCCAAAAATACACACTGGAATAAAGACAGCATCTATAATGAATGGTGCTGGTGGAACTGGATGGCTGCATGCAGAAGATTGCAGATTGATCCATCCTTATCACCTTGCACAAAACTCAACTCCACATGGATTAAAGACCTTAACATAAGACCGGACACACTGAATCTTACAGAAGAGAAATCGGTGACGAGCCTTGAACTCACTGACACAGGAAATGATGTTTTGAATAGAGTACTGTTAACACAAACACTAAGATCAACAATAAATGGGACTTCATAAAACTGAAAAGCTTTGGCAAAGGACACTGTCATTTGGTCAAAGTCGCAGCCTCCAGAATGGGAAAAGATTTTTACCAATTACATATCCAATAGAGGGCTAGTATCCAAAAATATATATATATTAACAAAAAACCCTGGATATCAAGAAAACAAATGATAACATAATAAAAAGTACAGATGTAAACAGAGGTTTCTCAAAAGAGGAAACCCCAGTAGCTGAGAAGCACATAAAGAAATCCTTAACGTCCTCAGTTATCAGGGAAATGCAAATCAAACCTACATTCAGATTTCAACTTACACTGGTCAGAAGGGCCAAGATCAATAAAACAAATGGCAGTTCATGCTGCTGAGGGTGTGGAGTAGGGGGACACTTAGCCCCTGCCGGTGGGAGTGCAAACGTACACAGCCACTATGGAAGTAAGCAGGTTAGTCCGCATGGCCAGCGGTAGACAGCTAACTGAAAAGGGAGCTCCAGGGAACCTTTAGAGGTTGTCTCAATGTCATAACAGCTTTATTTCTTCAATTTATTTACTTTTTACTTTTATTTTATTCTATTGTTTATTTGTTTGGTTTTTCAAGACAGGGTTTCTTTGTGTAGCTCTGGCTGTCCAGGAACTTGCTCTGTAGACTAGGCTGGCCTTGATCTCAGGGATCCACAGGCCTCTGCCTCTTGAGTGCTGGGATTAAAGGTGTGTGCCACCACTGCCCAGCTAATATGCAATATTCATATATCTCTCATATATGTGTGTGTGTGTGTGTGTGTGTGTGTGTGTGTGTATAGGTGAAGGTATAGGTGTATGTATATGTATATATCCTACAAATAAATATATATTTATTTGCCCTACAACTTTTGTATAGTTTTTATGGATTCTGGCTTTGTGTCTTTATGGGATTCCTGAATGTGTCTCTGCATCTATAGCTATTTCTTGTGCCGTTTCTTAGGCTCTTTTCCTTCTGTTTGTTTTTCGTCTCTGAACAGAACAAAACAAAAAGAAGAGATGCGAAGAGTAGAAAGAAATCCTGCTCTGCTGGTCTGAGCACTGCTGGCCACTGGGGAGTCTCAGACTAGCAAGCCACATTCCTGGAATAGGTGACACAGGAGAAACAATCAGTAACATGGCGCTAATTTTGGGTTGGTTCCCAGTCAGCAGGAAGGAACTGGCTTGTAATTTCAACCAGAAACTTCCCATCTGAGGAAAAGTAGAGCAACCACATACATTTCTTTCTATTTTTTAAGAAATAAGGGAAACATTAGCCAATTTAATGAGCAAATTTTAAAATGTGTAGAGACCTCTAAAATGAATATTTCCATGTTAAATGCTAGAGGTGCTTATCTGGGAATGGGGACATGGCTCAGTGGCAAAAATTGAGTTTAACATGTAAGTGGACCTGGGTTCTATTTCTAAGACCAAAACAACAAATAAATAACAACATAAAACCAGGGCTTAGGGAATATGCTAGAGCTAAGGCCTTGTGGTATTTAAACTGACCACATGACTGTTCCATGGCATGATTGAGCAAAAGGTTTTTATTGTAGATGTGTGTGTGAGAGAGAACAGCCAGAGGCATCTGGAAGGGCCCAGAGCAGGGGAAGAAAGGAGGAGACGGAACATGGGCAGCAGGCTGGACCTGAGCCATGAGGGAAGCAGGAACAGAGCAGAGAGAGAGAGAGAGAGAGAGAGAGAGAGAGAGAGAGAGAGAGAGAAAATAGCAGGGCTATAAGGACAATGGGTGGCTGGGGAGAAGGCTGCCCATGAGCTGGAGGGAGTTTAGGGTAGGGGAGGAGTTGAGAAGGACTAGGAAGCTAGCATGGACTCTGAAGTGTGTAACAGGTACTTGTGATTCTGCTGGAGCCTGGAGGCCAGCATGAGCTTTGGTATGCTGATA